GGTAGGTAAAACGGTTTCTCCTCTCTGCTAGACAAAACAAGCCATCAACCCTTGCAGTCTGGTCACAGCCCCACTGCAAGGGATCATGAGCCAAATCCGCCTTCATTTGTGTCTACCGCGCTCCCCCTGCCAGACACTGCAGCTCACAGCAGGAGGGTTTCAGCAGCAGATGCAGTGCTGTCAATCCAGAAGCAGTGAGTAGGACCAGCTGCGGTCAAGTGCTGATTGAGAAGCTACAAGTTTGTCAATCAGCAGTGTCAATGTTGACAGCCACGCCCCCTGCAACGTTTTCTCCTCCCACTGTAGTGAAAGCAGAAATAGACTTCATGAGAGTGACAACTCTGCTCTGAATTCAGGAACAGTGCAGCATTGTTGCCACCCCATCACAGGAAGCTGCATTAGGATGATGTCACTGGCAGAATCAACAAGTATTTGTGTAACTAAAGGTGCAGATGCCCTTATAATAAAGTGCTGCAGTACATATTGTTTAACCACTTGCCTACCAGGCACTTATACCCCCTTATTTACCAGGCCAATTTTCAGCTTTCAGCGCTGCCACACTTTGATTGACAATTGCGCGGTCATGCAACATTGTACCCATATGAAATTTTGATCATTTTTTTCTCACAAATAGAGCTTTCTTTTGGTGGTATTTAATTGCCACTGGGCACTTTACTTTTTGCGCTATAAATAAAAAAAAGTGCAAAAAATTTGAAAAAAAAAAAAAAAGTTTTTTTGTTTCTTTTATAAAATTTTTCAAACAGGTATTTTTTCTCCTTCACTGATGTGCGTTGATGAGGCAGCACTGATGGGCACTGATAGGCGGCACTGATAGGCAGCACTAAAGGGCACTGATAGGCAGTACTAATGAGGTGGCACGGATAGGCGGCACTGATAGACAGCACTAATGAGGTGTCACGGATAGGCGGCACTAATATGCAGCACTGATAGGCGGCACTGATGATGGGTACTGATAGACGGCACTGACTGGCATCACTACTGGGCACTGACTGGCGGCACTGACTGGCACAACCCCTGGGCACTGACTGGTGGCACTGACTGGCAGCACTGCTGGGCTGCACTGGTGGGTGGCACTGGTGGGCAGCACTGGTGGGTGGGCACAGGTGGGTGGGCACAGGTGGGTGGCACTGCTGGGCACAGGTAGGTGGCACTTCTGGGCACAGGTAGGTGGCACTGCAGAGTGGCACAGGTGGGTGCACTGCTGGGCACAGGTGGGTGCACTGCTGGGCACGGGTGGGCGGAGCTAGTGGGCGCACTGCTGGGCGGAACTTGCAGGTGGCACTGCTGGTCACCGATCATCAGGGCACTGATCATCAGTGCCCTGATGATCGGTGCCGATCCCCGCTCTGACAACTGCCGGTTCTCGGCAGTACTTTCCTCACGATCTGACAGCGTGAGGAAAGTGCAGCCGAGAACCGGCACTTGCATTTCCCTCTGATCAGCGTGTCATTGGACACCGCTGATCACGTGGTAAAAGGCCGCTGTGATTGGCCTTTTACCACATCACGTGATCAGCTGTGTCCGTAGGACACAGCGATCATGGAGATTGCCGGGTGCGCGCCCCAGAGCGCGTTCTGGGAGGACGTCATATGACGTCCACCCAGAACTGGCCGGCCGCAATGCAGCCGTCATTCGGCTATCTGCGGTCGGCAGCTAGTTAAATAAGAGACCACAATTTCACATTAATTTGCAGCAGTCAGAGACCCTAAATGTCTCGCTTTTAGTCCCAACCCTGCACTTCCTCAGCCCCAATTTCCTGTTCATCATGCTATTCTATATCTTTCTACTCAGATGAATCCTCTAAAATATTGGAACTAAACTTCATCCTATTAGCTCCTATCTTACTGTCTGACATGGATAAATGTAAAAATTCACCCGGGTCAGGAGGAGTAAACGAGACCCACACTAAGACTTCTTTACCTTTTACAGACCTTACTGATTCATCTTGCAAGGAAAATCTACCAGAAATGGTAAAGAGACCTTAGTTCTTCCCAAACCCAAAGGGGTAGATATGGTTCCCAGACCTAGCTCCATGTTACACAGCCGCCCATACAGCCAGGACTATCAACCGGGGTGGACACAGAGCTCACAAGCTTTGGGCCTCACTGGAACAGGAGAGCTCTCTACTTCCTTTAAAAGGTGCCCCTTGGGCTGGAATGGGCAATGAGAAAACACCGGCTCAGTGGGCTTACGTCGCTGGAAATTGCCAGATATTGCTCATTAACCTCCCTAGCGGTCTGATTATGTCAGTATTTCTGTGCTCAAAGCAGTATTTTTTTTGCATGGAAATATGTATTTTTTTTATTGTAGGACTGTAGTTTTTAGGAATAACTCACTGAAATCTGTCCGAACAAGAGTCTAGTAAACATGCCGGGTATGTTAAAATTTGAAATCATAAATTATAATTTAATAAAAAAAAATAATATAATAATAAATTTAATTCAATAATATAATGAAACTGAAAACACTGAAATTTTAAATATAGCGCCAAGTTCGCACATCACTGAGCAATGTCGCAAAATCGTTTTCGGTGTCTGATGACGAATTTCCCCAACAAATCATTATCACTCAATTCTGCAAGTGGTTCTGATTTACTATCGCTGTTCTCTAGCCGGTCTAAAACCGCTATTGATCTAAAGGGACGCTTTTTGGACGCCATGGACGTTTCTCAGTTTCCAGGCAGAAAGAACAGTAAAAATGCAGGCAGGGCGCCGGACAAAGCACTCGGGACAAAATGTATGTGAAATGGTTTGATACAGGAATGTTATACTATGTGATTTTATTGATTTTAGTGAATGTCATTTTCAAATTTCCCGCCGTTCCATCCCCGTACGTCTCGACGCTCACAGGGGACGGAACCCAGATGACGGATGCCGACATCTGCTGGATTACATTGCCGTGGACACTGCAGGGGGGACATCACGGGAGCGCAGGACAAGGTAAGTGATCGAGGGATTGCGGAGCAACGCTGCATGGTAAGCCCGAGTGTAGCTCGGGATTACCGCTTGTGGTACTGAAACTTTACCCTGAGCTACACTCGGGAATACCGCCAGGGAGGCTACAGGAGAGTTCAGAGTCCAGGATTACGCCTAGCATCCTGGCATGTTGGGACGGGTTGATGGTTGTGCCACTGATCTTGACAGAAGTCAGGGGAAGGGGAACGTGGCACAGGAAATATTAGGAACACGGTTTTGAAACGATTGAGTTTGAAGAAGTGGTGTGACATCCAGACTGATATGTCTGGATGATGTTGGAGCCCCATGTAGCAGTAGAGATCCCCCAGAGTGATTCTAATGTTTCCCCACTTTATCTAAAAGTTAAACATAAGTTGGCTGGACTTGCACTTTAACTAGCCCCAATGCATGTATGAAGAGCAGTTAGAGGGACATTAGAGTGTAAGCTCTTCTGGATTAGTAACTAAGTTGATGGTTCAGTGGACTCAGCACTTGTCAGTGCTATAAAATGACAACTACTCCGTGCTGAATTGGACTTTAGCACGGTTTTCATTATTTCAGATTTAATGGCGCCCTCTGAGCCAAAATACAGATTAACTACTTGCCCTCCAGAGGATTTACCCCCCTTCCTGACCAGGTCATTTTTTGCAATATGGCGCTGTGTTACTTTAATTGACAATTGCGTGGTCATGCAACGCTGCACCCAAATGAAACGTAGGTCCTTTTTTTCCCCACAAATAGAGCTTTCTTTTGGTCACGATTAGCAACTTATAGCGGGACTGCGGCATTCTGACACTGGGGGGGAACTGACTAACTGCCACTGACATCCCCAGTGACACTAATACAGTTATCAGTGCTAACAAAAAGCACTGACACTGTACTAATGACACTGGACAGAAGGGGTTAACATCTGGGGCAATCAAAGAGTTAACTGTGTGCTGTGTTGAGTTTTACATTATGTGCTGTGTGTGTTTTACTAGGGAGACAAGCTGCTTTGTATTGCTTTGCTTTGCAGAGCAATACAAAGCAGCATGTTCGTACTGAGGGGAGAGATTTGTGTTGTTTACACACAGACCTCTGCCGTGTCACTGCTCCTCAGCGATCACCGGGTGCTCTCTCCACTCTAAAACTGAAAAATGTTTTGCCATTCATGCCATTGCCAGGAACACCTTTATTTTTAGATACATTTATTTTTATCAGTGTATTATGTCCAAGACCCGTTCACTGTGTAACTCCCTTTACTTAGAGTCTTAGTTCTATCTTAGGAAACCTTACAGCAGTTCGGGGTCAAAATGTTTGATACAGTGGGCCTCAATACAGCACCTGATATCATAGACTGCAGACATACTACAGGAGATGCTCAGAAACTGCAGACATACTACGGTAGACAGTCAGAGACTGCAGACATGGTACAGGAGATGCTCAGAGACTGCAGACATATTACGGTAGATGGTCAGAGACTGCAGGCATACTACAGAAGATGGTCAGATATTGCAGAAATACTACAGGAGATGGTCAGAGGCTGCAGACATACTACAGGAGATGGTCAGAGGCTGCAGACATACTACAGGAGATGGTCAGAGGCTGCAGACATATTACAGGAGATGGTCAGAGGCTGCAGACATACTACAGGAGATGGTCAGAGGCTGCAGACATACTACAGGAGATGGTCAGAGGCTGCAGACATACTACAGGAGATGGTCAGAGGCTGCAGACATACTACAGGAGATGTGCAGAGACTGTACACATACTACAGGAGATGGTCAGAGACTGCAAGCATACAACAGGAGATGGTCAGAGATTGTACACATACTACAGGAGATGTGCAGAGACCATACACATACTACAAGAGATGGTCAGAGATTGCAGACATACTGCAGGAGATGGTCAGAGGCTGCAGACATACTACAGGAGATGGTCAGAGACTGCGGACATCAGAGGTCTGCAGACATACTACAGGAGATGGTCAGAGACTGCGGACATAGCTACAGGAGATGGTCAGAGGCTGCAGACATACTACAGGAGATGGTCAGAGGCTGCAGACATACTACAGGAGATGGTCAGAGGCTGCAGACATACTACAGGAGATGGTCAGAGGCTGCAGACATACTACAGGAGATGGTCAGAGGCTGCAGACATACTACAGGAGATGGTCAGAGGCTGCAGACATACTACAGGAGATGGTCAGAGACTGCAGACATACTACAGGAGATGGTCAGAGGCTGCAGACATACTACAGAGATGGTCAGAGGCTGCAGACATACTACAGGAGATGGTCAGAGGCTGCAGACATACTACAGGAGATGGTCAGAGGCTGCAGACATACTACAGGAGATGTGCAGAGACTGTACACATACTACAGGAGATGGTCAGAGACTGCAAGCATACAACAGGAGATGGTCAGAGATTGTACACATACTACAGGAGATGTGCAGAGATTGCAGACATACAACAGGAAATGGTCAGAGATTGTGGACATACTGCAGGAGATGATCACAGAACTGTGGGCATTTTACAAGAGATGGTCGGAGAGCATAGACATACTACAGGAAGTACTTCTGGAGACTACAGATATACTATAAGCAGACATGATTCAGGAGATGGTTATAGACTACAGGAACATTAGATCAATGCCATCAATTTTTTCTCCCTACAGCCCCTTAAAAATCATCTGTGCCACAGTAAGAAAAAAACAAAACCATTTGATTCTTAGAACCCAGACTAATGAGTATTTTTCATTTCACTGGAACTTAAGCAAGAAAATCCTTAATACTGTCTGAGGGTGCAACCGAGGGGCTGAAGGGGTTGCTTTTTTTATCTTCTTGCACAAAGGAAAAAACTTTCAGCCTATACAACCACTTTAAATTGTGTTGAATATTGTTTAATGTAGTAGTCTCATGTTCAGTGCTGCACTGCTTTTATGGTTTATGTTCACTTGCTGACTAATATATCCAACCCACTGCCTGATGCAATTGAAACAAAATAAACGTAATTCACTTTATCTGTCAGTAGTCATAATGTTATGGCTGATCGGTGTGCGTTTTGTAAAAACATCGCCATCTAGTGTAAGAAACAATTGAGTACTGTCCGTGATACTGTTTTTATTTGCACTAACCTACAATTTTGAGGACAAGCTTTCGGGGAATGTCCCTTCTTCAGGTCCAAGCAGTACTGAACACAAAGGTTTAGCAGAATGTTAGAAGAGATGTAGGTGATGGAAAAAAAAAAGAGAACAGAGATAAGACACAGCAAAAGCAAAGTCTGGGGTGGGGGGGGAGACAACACTCACAGAGGCAGTCATGCTTGAGGTGATAGTCATAAAACTGTTGGATAATGATTCCTCAATCATTATCCAACATTTTTTTGACTATCACCTCAAGCATGACTGCCTCTGTGAGTGTTGTCTCCCCCCCCCAGCTTTTGCTGTGAATTATCTCTGTTCTCTTTTTTTTTTCCAAAAGACCCTGAAGACCACGGAAAACAACTGTGGTGGATGACCGAAGAATTCTTTGTGTGATGACCGAAGACCCTGGTGACCTTCACAACAGTTGGCCAGATCAAGAACACTCTCCAGGAGGTAGGTGTATGTGTGTCAAAGTCACCAATCAAGAGAACACTTCACCAGAGTGAATACAGAGGGTTCACCACAAGATGGAAACCATTGGTGAGCCTCAAAAACAGGAAGGCCAGATTAGAGTTTGCCAAACGACATGTAAAAAAGCCTTCACAGTTCTGGAACAACAACATCCTATGGACAGATGAGACCGAGATCAACTTGTACCAGAGTGATGGGAAGAGAAGAGTATGGAGAAGGAAAGGAACTGCTCATGATCCTAAGCATACCACCTCATCAGTGAAGCATGGTGGTGGTAGTGTCATGGCGTGGGCATGTATGGCTGCCAATGGAACTGCTTCTCTTGTATTTATTGATGATGTGACTGCTGACAAAAGCAGCCGGATGAATTCTGAAGTGTTTCGGGAATATTATCTGCTCATATTCAGCCAAATGCTTCACAACTCATTGGACGCTTCACAGTGCAGATGGACAATGACCCAAAGCAGACTGCAAAAGCAACCAAAGAGTTTTTTAAGGGAAAGAAGTGGAATGTTATGCAATGGCCAAGTCAATCACCTGACCTGAATCCGATTGAGCATTTCACTTGCTGAAGACAAAACTGAGGGGAAAATGCCCCAAGAACAAGCAGGAACTGAAGACAGTTGCAGTAGAGGCCTGGCAGAGCATCACCAGGGATGAAACCCAGCGCCTGGTGATGTCTATGCGTTCCAGACTTCAGGCTGTAATTGACTGCAAAGGATTTGCAACCAAGTATTAAAAAGTGAAAGTTTGATTTATGATTATTATTCTGTCTCATTACTTTGGTCCTTTAACAAGTGGGAGGCACATATGCAAACTGTTGTAATTTCACCTGATTTGGATGTAAATACCCTCAAATTAATGCTGACAGTCTGCAAATAATGCACATCTTGTTCATTTGAAATCCATTGTGGTGGTGTATAGAGCCAAAAATGTTAGAATTGTGTCCCAATATTTATGGACCTGACTGTAGCCGCATAAAGAAGCAGTTAACCAACCTAATCACAAAGGAAACACAGATCAACAGTGATATCTTCTCTCAAGATGCAAAAAGAGGAATCTCATACCACAAGGCCTCCGGATTAAAAATCCTTCCGTAAATACAATCAACTCTCCTTATGCAGGACTTTGCAGACGCACCAGCGAGAGATTAAGGAATAACCTCATTCACAAACTGTATGGAAAAAGGGTAACTATCAGGATACAAAAGCAGTCTTTGTTTGAAACCCTAACATCATTGGACCCGACCAACATTAACAAAGACAAAGACAAACACAAAAAATTTGCCATGAATGGGAAGCAAAAAAAAACGTCAGAAGCTACACCAAGAGCAGACCTTTTGGATACAACCTAAACATAAAAGCAACCCAACATCTATACCTCTTACTATCAGTGACCTGGAATCTAATCCGGAATCCCAAGGGATCCCTTGTGTAAGTGCTGACCTGACTGAAAATGTGGATATAACAGAGGAACTTGAAATCATCAACTTGTCAAATCATAAACTTTCTGAACCAGAATTAACCATCCTCTCCAAACGCCTTACATTCTGCCCAACCACCAAATTGGATCATTTACAATTATTGTCAGATATGGAGGATTTCTTCAGGAGACTAAGGCTCAAAGAATATTTCCACAATAATGAAAGGAATCCTAGGACAATGGAGTGCTACACAAAGAAAAAGAACAGCAGCTTCACACCTCTACAAGGATGCAACCCCAAACTGGACACCTATATTGATAGCTTCAGATTGCGAGCTACATCCCTGATATCCACCCAGCAAAAGAAAATTCTGTACAATCTTTCACCACTAGAGCGAAAGGCGATACACGATTTGCGCAATAATCAGGCCATCACCATCAAACCAGCGGATAAAGGGGGAGCAGTTGTTGTGATGGATACAAAAATACATACAAGAAGGCCAGAGGCAGCTGGAAAATGCCATCTACTATAAGAAACTGGATTATGATCCGACCCAGGACTTTACAAAGCAATTCAAAGGTCTCATTAAAACACTTCCAGCCCACCTACATTCAGAACTTATAAATGCGATTCCGGATCATCCAGAAATCGGGGACTTCTACATGCTGTCCAAAGTCCACAAGCCAGGAAATCCAGGCAGACCCATCATAACATGTATGAATACACTCACCGAACAAATCTCAGGCTTTGTAGAAAAAAAATTTAAAACCGTTAGTTAAGAATACTGCTAGTTTCCTGCAAGACACAACTGACTTTCTGAACAAGATCAACAACATCCAGCAATTACCATCTAATACACTTCTAGTGACTATGGATGTAGTATCCCTGTATAGTAATATCCCTCACAAGGACAGATTAGCTGCATGTCACAGATCCTTATCATCCTCACCAAACCACAAATACACTGCTGAGGATGTTACACAGCTCATTGAATTCATACTTACACACAACTACTTTGCCTTCAATAAAGACATCTATCTTCAATGTATGGGTACTGCGATGGGAAGTAAAATGGCACCCCAATATGCCAATTTATTTATGGCTGACCTGCAGGAAAAATTCCTGAACAGCATGGAACAAAAACCATACAGACACTATCGCTATATTGATGATATTTTCATAATATGGACAGAAGGTGAAGAATACCTAAAACAATTTTACTCATTGATCAACACTTTTCATCCATCAATCAAACTAACAATGGAATACTCAAACACACAGTCACCTTCCTAGACACCACAGTAAACATCAGGGATGATACGCTTCACACCTCAATATACAGGAAACCCACCGACAGATGCAACTACCTCCACAGTTCCAGCTTCCACCCCCAACACACGAAACGTGCCATCATACACAGTCAGACCATTAGATACCACCGAATATGTTCTGACCCAAGAGACAGAGATACACATCTCGGGACACTAGCAGATGCCTTCCATAAGAAAGGTTACAAGGACAAAACTATCAACACCGGCATAAACACAGCCTTGAGAACCCGAAGGGAAAATCTACTTCAGTACAAAGAGAAAAAAACAAACAACCGTGTACCTCTAGTAACCACATACAACCCAGCACTAGAAGAAAAATAATCAAAGATTTACAACCCATCATAACAGAGGATGGAACTCTGAAAGAAATATTCCAGCAACCACCAATACTGGCCTTCAGACAACCCCCCCAATACTGGCCTTCAGACAACCCCCCAACCTCAGAAATAAACTAATCAGTAGGAAACTTCCTTCTAATTATGATGTCACAAATAATGGAAGCAAACCCTGCAACAAGAAACACTGCAAGCTGTGCAACCAAATCAATCCATCAAAAAGTGTCAGACACTCAAAAGGGATCTTCAGTATCTCCGGATCATACAGCTGCACCTCTAGTAATGTTGTGTACCTTATCCAGTGCAGAAAATGTAGCAAAGGATCTTATGTTGGTGAAACAGGACAGAAGGTGCAAACAAGGATGAATTTGCACAGACATACCATCAAGGAACATAAAGAAGATAACCTCTGCACACCTGTGGGACACCATTTCGCACAACCAGACCACACAAAGGGAGACCTCAATATTTTAGTTCTTAAAGGAAATTTCAAATCCATTCAGGAAAGAAAAACTTTTGAACTAAGAATGATAATTCTATTTGACACAAGAGATAAGGGCCTGAATTTGGACATGGGATTCCTCAATCATTATCCAACAGTTTTATGACTATCAGCTCAAGC